CAATAATGAATTTAAGTATCGCGCCCTCGAGTACGTAGCTAAAAATTTAATTGGTATCAAATATAGGTACAATCTATTTTTATAAGAAATAGTTTGAGTAAAAATCTCAAAACACAATCCTAATATAGAACTTTTTCGAAACGCTGAGTTCCCTTGTATAACCCCTATCTCTCAACTTCGTTGATCTGGATATAATGTCGCGAATCTAAAAATATCACACGGTGAAACCCACTCGTATAACCGTTTCGATATTCTCTCTCGATATAAGTGGCCCGAGCAATCAAAGCGAAATCTCATAAGCGCCCATAACACCGATTACATGATTACATGCCTGACTCGAATATCTTTGAGATCTCTGACAACCAATTACCACCGCATCCGTTAGCTCTCTACAAAAGAGCTCACTTAATGCTTCATTAGAAACCCAATGAGGATGAATCGGCCATTTTTTCTGTCTCTCATTCTTTGTTTTTTTTTTATTTTCTCGTTGTGCCTCGGCTTCTGGTCCCACGCATTTTTCATAGATTAAATGTAGGACAGCCCGTAGATGTTTTTTATGAAGAGTATGGTTTTTGATATTATTTTTTAACAACACTCACCGACAAAAAAATCCCCCACCTGAAAAAAAAATTATGTCAACTCATCATCCCATCAAAAAATAGAATTAAAAAAAAGTCTCGCAACACTATTCTTCCGCTATAAATAGTTTTGAGATCTCATGTAAAACTAAGTCAGATTATTTTATTTAGTCTCTTTAAGCACCTATTCAACAATTTTTTTATACATTTTTAGTATCAATATTAGTCATCTTTATTTCTGCAATAATTATAATGACATGGCAATTGCACAGCACCATAATAATTATAAAATAATATTCTACATTCTACCATCTCGATTACTAAGTAAATCTAAATAGTGCCCTTGAAAATTAAGTTTTTAATTAGAATAGAATATAATATCGTCTAAAACACATACGAAATTCAGTTTTTTAGTATTTGGAGCAATTATTATTAATTATTAATCAACAGTCAATTAATGTAGTTTGAATACTGAAATCATATTAATTGGTCCCCTTTAACAAATATTTAAACAATTTTGTTTAGTTTTTAATGACATAAACGAACTATATCGACAATATTAGCACAGATCATACAGATTATAAACTTATCGTCAAAAGCATTGTTTTTCGTGGTTCCAATTTTCAGAGCCTCTTTCAGTCAGTCTATATTCCATGGGTATATTGATAATTGAGGTCTAAATTATAAGAAAATGCATTTTCTACAAAAGCTTGAAGAGATAGGTAAAAATGGTATAATACAGTTTGATATATAATTAAATTGTGCATCTGATTCTCATAAAATATACAGGGTGTTCCATTTAAATTAAACAAGTTATTGCCGTTTAAAGCTAGTAATTATTTGAAATAAATTTTTAGACACTCTGTATAAGGTAGTATAATTTTCATTATTGCAAGACAAAACTTAGTAAATAGAAATACTTCCATACAATATTTGCTTTTAAAAATTTAATTACGCCTATAGAAATAAAGCCTTAAAATTTTTACTGCAATTTCACAAAATTGAAAATATTTCAAAAACAATAAGGTTTAAGTGTGATAAACCTTAATCAAATTTACCTTCATTTTAATCGTAGAAACTAAAAATGTAATAATATACAGGATGTTCCATTTAAAAAAAAACAACTTTGATATTTTTTATTTATTTGGGATACTCTGTATCTTATAAAAATATTTTTAAATTGTGGCTCTAATAGTCCTTCAACGAACCCAAAACTTACAATTTGCAAAAATCTAATCGTTTAGCTACAATACTCCGTGTCGTATGTGATGAACAACCCTGTATAATTTGATGACATTAATTATATTTTTTTCTCTTAACTTTGTACGAGTCCTTTTGATGTATTTCTTTTTACCACTTTTATCTCTCTTTTTATGTTTCTCTTCGTTTGAATACCGCTCTCTCGTAAATAAACGTGGTCAGACATCTTTTACGTACACCGGCACTTCAAAAGGTGATCGCTATCTTGTTATTTTCCACCTTTTAATCGATATAATTGAACGGCAGTTAGTTAAAACCTCTGTTATTGATTCAATTAAATACAGAAAATCTGTCGGTGATGTGTATCTTCATCTTTTAAATCACTAACTGGTACTTATTCAAGCTTAAAAATCATTTCAGAGCAGAAATCATGATGTATTTTGTTTTTTGTTCCTATAAGAAATATGAAAAATGCCGGGTCCTGTAACAGTGCTTCGAGCATCTGTGGTGGTGAAGGGAGTGAACCTTGTAAGTATGCGAATATTTTTAGGAATCGAATACATTTTGAATCTTCTTCTATTCGGATGTGTTTGATAATCAAATACATTTTTCGAACTCCAATACTTTTGAGAATCGAATGCCATTTTTAATCTTTTTGAATTCGAATATACTTTTGGGAATCGAATACATTTTGAATCTTTTTGTATTTGAATACTTTTAATAATCAGATACATTTTTCGAACTCCAATACTTTTGAGAATCGAATGCCATTTTTAATCTTTTTGAATTTTACCTTAATATAAATTTTGTAATAGTAATAAGTAAAATAAAAAGTAGAGAAAAGTAATAAGGTCATTCCTAAGGTCAAAGACTAATTATTTATATATTTTTAAATTAATAATTATTTCTCTTAACTAATATTACTTTTTTAATATCAATAAATTTGTGTTTACATGATTTTGTATTATTAGATTTATTTCGTCTACTATAATTATATGGAGGTAAAAAATTATATAAACGGCACATTAATTAAAAAAGGTATCGAAAAATATAAAATGTATAAATATAGAAATGAAGATTAACTTTTATTCTTCCCTTGAGTAAAAATTAGAATCATTTATATTATTCCGCTTTCCAGGAGGCTAAATTTCTTTAGCACCAGTGCAGACAGATGAATTTATATACCTAATTAACTTTTTAATGTTCTTTCACTCTTTAGAATCTAAAATTATAATAATAAATATCTCTCATGTACTCGGTGGTAACAAATTCATTAGAGAATTAGCTATTTTAGCCATTTAACTGCTTTTTATCCAATAAATTCGAAACCTTAGTTCAAGTTACACGGTCTCCCACATAACAATTTTTTTAAACCAATTAAGTTTTTTTCGTATAACAATTTTGGTTCCAAGTTGAAACTGTTTAATGGAATTCCATTGTTTTTGTACTTAGTGCAGTTATCGTGCTCGGCTATCCCACTCGCACAAAAAAAAACAGGGATATTGCGAAATGAAGCTCGCTGTCATTTTATAATATAATGGGGAATTGCATTGATCGTAATTTCCAAGCCAACAACTACTAGAGCATAAAAAGGACCTAGTAGGCATAATTGTAGGTGTCGTCACTGGAAACTGTCCCACGGGTAAACCTGGTGAAATGGAAAGTTTCCGACAACGACTACTGGCAGAGAATGCAGAGAGAAATAAGCCAGAGAGCACCTGCTGTGCCACTGTCCGGCACTGGAATACCGACGCTTTAAAACTTTGGGCAAGGTTTTTTGGAGGGACTAGAGGAAGCAGCAGAAGCCAACATCAGCGACATCGGGAACTTTGGAAAGTACTGGAAGTGCTTTATAACGCAAAGAAAGAATGAGAGGAAGGTTTGGTACAACAATAACAGGGGTATCACAATGGGCCCAAGGCCTCCGAGTGAGGGATCAAACATGATCCGAAACCCCAGCAACCTAACCTAACCTAACAGGAATATCGTAAAACAGAAGTGTTATAAGGATTGGAAATCTTAAAATAATCAAATTAGTTCTGAAGATATTTAGGAAAACACCCCAATTTTTGTTTCTATTTGAAAAGAATTTGGCAATAAAAATTTCACATGGCTACCGTAGGTATGATCGAAAAAAGAGCCGGAGAATGACAATAAATGATAATTTTGGCGAGGTCAATCTCTAGATATTATTTATTAAAAATTGACATAAAACATGTGAAAATTTAATACGAATTACAGAAAACTTAAAAAGGGATAGAACCGTATCCAGATAGACAAATCTATTTCCAAAAAAATATTTTTCTCCAATTTTAAACAAGTAAAACAAAAAAAGTATTTGTTTTAGGTATATAAATATATGACAACATTCTTAAGGCCAACTGGCAGTAAGCACCACTAAAAAAAATAAAGAAGAGTATATATTGACTCTATAAGCCCTATATTGGCTCTATAAGCCAAGTAGTGGCGTCTAGGGCTTGACCTCGCCAAAAATATCATGGTTTGTCATTCCCCAGTCGTCTTTGATATCGTTTTTTTTCAATATAGCCTACCCACCAAATTTGGTCGCGATCGGACGACACCAAAAAATACATAAATTTATTAGCATTTATACACCGTCAAATTCAACATGTCGATATTATTTGAGAATTCCTAAAACTAGTTTTGAGCATGCGCGATTCAGTTTTGAATTAGCATTAGCCTTAAGAATATAAAATACTCCAACCTGTTAGGACTAGGCAATCGATACAACGGAAGCATGAACGCAGCGTTCCTTAACCGGCCTTAACGTTGATTCATATTCATGGGATTAGGACTAATGTTGTGTTAGGGCTAAGATCGGAAGCATAAACCCACCATAACTGGTTGGAGAAGGTTGATTTAAAATTATAAAATATTATTTTATTAAATTCATTCAATCAATATTAAATTAATAATTATTAATACTATCGATATTAATAATAAATATATAGTCTATACTAGCTAACAAAGCATCAAACTCGGCACAAAGATATACAGCCATCATTATTCCTATTACGTAATCTGAAATTCTAAAATATGCAAGATAAAGAAAATAACATACAATTTTACATACCCGCATATATTTTCCGGCGTATAATATTAACATTCAGTTTAATCTCATCCATAAACAATGGTGAAGAGTAACGAGTCTAAATCTCTTATTTTTATACCTTTAAAAGTAAAATAATGTTTTTGTTACAGATTTACGAGGTAGTCTATGTGATAATCAAAGCAGCCAACGCACCCAGGCCAGGTACCTGGATCCTGGAGAGATCCATCGATGGAGAACGTTACGAACCCTGGCAGTACTTTGCCAGAACTGACGACGAATGCGAAGAGAGGTTTGGTATTCGAGCGACTAAAGGAAAACCCCGTTATACGATGGACAACGAAATTATTTGTACTTCTTTCTTTTCGAGATTGACCCCGCTTGAAGGAGGAGAGGTAAGCAATTTATTCAAGGAATATTATTTTAGGACATGAATAAGATCGTATTGTCTGTAAACTTCTGATTTGAGAACAGAAATTACACTGGGCAACAATTTGAAAAATAATTTCTGTTCAATATTTAAACTGTCGTAGCGGTAAATTGACATGCTGATTCCAAAACTTTATCTAGTTTTCTCCTATCACGTCAAGTTTTTTCTCTACAGTTTATGCACGTGCGTCTACGCTTCGCTGGATTAAGCGCGAAATACACCCTTGTTTATAGATTTATAGAGCTATTGTTACAGCGATTGTTTATATACAGCTCAAAGCGTAACTTGAAGTGTGTTCTCCTACACAATGGAAATTTGTACGGTTCAGTTCCAATAGGTCTTTCAGTTTCTTTGCGTGAAGTATATAACCACATAAAGAGAGTCTTCTTCTTCTTTACGTGCCGCCTCTTTCGTGGAGGTTGGCGATCAAATTGGCAAAATCTTCACGATTCTCGGCTTTCCTTATGAGTCTTCAAAAGTTAGGTGAGTCCAGTTTCTGATGTTTCTCAACCAAGATAGTTTCTTCTTGCCGAGACCTCTCTTTCCTTCAATCTTACCCTTAACTATCAATAATAATAAAGAGAGTCAAGTGGCACTAAAATGGATCATCTGTATTGACCTTAAAATTGTTTGTTTCCTACCTTGCGAGCAACGCGGATATTCTAAGTATCCCTGGGACAGCAGAGCTCGTGAGAAGCATTATGGGTTCAATCGAACTGGCATTAGCGTAACTAGCAATTTATCCTGGGGTGGGCCTGGAGTTGAGCCCAGGGGGGGCCTAGAGCTTTTGTTTTTTTAAAAATGAAAAATAATTTTATGTATTTATATTTAACACATTTTTTGAATAAAACGTTTGCACGAATTTCTCTATCAATAAATTTCATAGACTTGGTTATCAAACCGTGTTCTCGTAGATTACTTAAATACCTACAAATTTAAAAAAAAATAAAAATTAACACATTTTTTGAACACAACAAAATAATATTAACTAAACAAAACTAAAAAACGTCATTTTTACTGCATCACAAGCAAATAAAAATTAATACGTAGCCAAGAAGCATAATTCAGGATTTCTCTGGAGGTGTACCAGCAGTACATGGGGGGCCCGGCACCCCCGGGCACCCCTGTAGTTACGCCAATGCGAACTGGCCGCCAAGAATTATCTAAAACCTGGTGATCTAAACATTTTAAATCAGCCACTTTTCGACAGAGAAAACATTATATTTCCACCTTTACATATAAAACTAGGTCTCATGAAGCAATTTGTAAAAGCTTTGTCAATTGAAGGAGAGTGCTTTAAGTATACAATTTCGGCATTCCCTAACTTGTCATATGAAAAGATAAAGGCTGGTGTGTTTGATGGTCTACAGATTCGGCAACTCATTAAAGATGAAAGCTTCGTTGAAACAATGTCCGAACTTGAGAGAAATTCTTGGTTGGCTTTCAAAAATATTGTTAAAAACTTTTTTGGAAATACAAGGGCCCAGAATCATCGAAATTATTCAACTAATCTAACTCTTGGAAAGCTTTAAAAATCCTTGTTGCGACATGAGCCTCAGACTGCATTTTTACAGTCATCTTGCTAACTTCCCAGAAAATCTTGGTGCTGTTACTGTTGACCAGAGCGAGCGATTGCACCACGATCTGAAGGTTCTGGAGGTACGGTATCAAGGTAGATGGGATATGTCAAGTATGATGGCTGAGTACTGTTGGAGCATCAAACGAGACACGCCAGAATAGATCAATCCAGGAAAAGCTATAAAAGGATATGTTTACATAAACACAATAAAATATTCTAATCTATTTGGTCAGATCTCACTTTTTTTCTCTTTATATTCCCCTTTACAGGTAAACAGGAGGATGCTGTAGCATAGTTTAATATGGCTGTAGCTTGAAAAAAACTTGACGTGATAGAGAAAAACTGCGAATATTTTTGAACTTAAAGATCAAAAATTAGTCAAAAACAAGTCACAGATCCAAGTCAACAAAATTGCTGTTCCCCAGTGTTATTAACCAAAATGGGAATCGATTAATGTTTGGGCAGAAATAATGGGACCATATTTAAGTGGTTCTATTTTACAATTATTTAAATATATATTTTTAAACAAATAAGCTAAAAATTTTAACGATATTAGTGTCTATACTTTTTGAAAATTTGTTACTTCATTTTCAAAATTCAAAAATTTTAGTTTTCTAAAGATAAGCTTGAAAAAAAACTTGACGTGATAGAGAAAAACTGCGAATATTTTTCATTTTCAAAATTCAAAAATTTTAGTTTTCTAAAGATAAAATGAAAAATAATGAAACAAAGTGAGTATTATAAAAATATAGCATTTTCTAGGAAAATTTGCGAGATTGCTAAAAAAGTATGCAATATAATTTTATAGGTATAAATAATTATTAAATTTTTGCATCTGGCAGTTGGTCTCGTTTGGTTTCGTCTAATTTTTTTTTGTTGAAAGGTTTCGTTAATATTTAAATATTTTTTTAACCACTAATTAGTTGTAAAGGCTAAAGTATTAGTATCTGTACTTTTGGAAAATTTGTTTTTATTTCAAAATGTCAAATTTCCGTGACTATATGAAAGATAATCATAAATAAAGTCTGAATTGTAAATATATGTTTTTCCAATAAAAATGTTGTATTTGTTGCTTGGGCAATATATAATACAGGCTCAACATTTCGTTTAAATTAAACCAGTTATTGCGGTTTAAAGCCAGTATAATTATTTACTTTTCATGTTTTTGACACCTTGTATCAGCTAGTATTATTTTCTATTATTGCAACACAATATTTAGTAAAGAAAGAAACTTCTGTTTATATTATGGTTTTGTTAACTTAACCTATGACTTAACTATGTTTAGAGAAATTTAGCATTACTGTATTTTAAAAAATTGTATATTACCTTAATCAAATTTATTTTTATTTAGTCATAGAAACTAGAAATGTTGTGGCATACAAAGTATTTCGTTTGGTATGGTTTGATTTTTTTAACAAGGAAATCAAGTTGAATGAGTAACAAAGTTTTTGATTGGGTTAATTGGAATTTGTAAAACAGCAAATAAAAAACGTAATATAATACTTTTATTAATAAGCGATGCAACGTTCAATTAAAATATGTTTATCTATGATCGAAGAATCTGATAATGAAATTTGGAGCGGAATTTTTATATTCATTAAATTAATGAATAACGATTATTATCTCAGGGCGGAGAGAATTTTAATTACGAGTTATATTCTCTAATTACTGCAGTTAAATGATAAATAAAACATTATTAATAATTTTACTGCAGGGTTGATTAAAAATAATAGAGTTTTTTTCGTTATTATCCGTTAACTTATTAAACTCAAAAATGTAATTTAGCAAAAAAGTAAAAAATAATTATTTAGTGATCCAACGATTACTGTTATATGATTACGATTACGATTGGAACCGAAATAATCGTTCTACTACCGATTATCAAGAAAGCCATACAAATATATACGATCGAAAAAAAAACGACCTTATAGTTGGTATTCGCAACGGCCCAGCTACGTCGAAACACCGGTTCCCATTAGAACACCGAAGTTAAGCGACGTAAGGCGATGCTAGTGGATGGACGGGTGACCGGTTCGAAACTTTGCATCGTGCTGTTGTCCAAAAAGGGAAAAGTGTAAAATCTATTGATACACACTGCTCATTCACGCCGGTTCAAGGCCGGATGAGATCGGATATCTCGTGAGTAAGAGTTAATTTAGACACTTCCTAAGTCGGTAGGCCATTGACCATGATATGGCCGAGGACCGCGGTTCGGATTCCGCGTAAACAAGTAAGTCCCGTCCAGTTTAGCCATTGCAGCAGAAAGGAGACGTTAACTTGAACCTCACACATAGTTGGCTTCATAGATTGCTGTCATTTTTAATGCAAAATTGTATGGTCAAAGCCAGCTTGACGACGTTCTTTTTTTAGGTCATACCGGTAACATACATGTAGGTACTATATAGCTATAATTTTTAAATAAAATTTTAAGAAAAATATGTACAAACTGTATAAGACAAATAAGTAAATCACAATCAGAGCTGGTTTGGAAATGAAGATCGCTGTTATTTCATATGTAAAATATTATGATAAATGTCAATCCCATCTAAAACATAGAATGTAAAAAAATACCAAGTCTCACAACACAATTCTTTTACTATAAAAAGTTGTGAGATCTCATGTAAAACCAAGTCAGTTGATTTTATTTAGTTCTCTTTAAGCACCTATTCAACAATTTTGTTATAAATTGTTAGTATCAATATTAGTCATCTTTATTTCTGTAATAATTATAATGACTTGGCAATTGCACGATATTATACTCTATTCTAATTAAATAACTTTATTTTTTAGAGCACTGTTTAGATTTATTTAGTAATCGAGATGGTAGATTATTCTTTTATAATTATGGTGCTGTGCAATTGTCAAGTCATTATAATTATTACAGAAATAAAGATGACTAATATTGATACTAACAATTTATAACAAAATTGTTGAATAGGTGCTTAAAAAGAGACTGAATAAATTAAACTGACTTGGTTTTACATGAGATGTCACAACTTTTTATTGTGAAAGTTGTGTTTGCATTTTTTTAAATTCTATGTTTTTGATAGGGTCTCATTTCTTTTTTGTAGGTTATTCTCCTATTTTTTCTCGGGTAATATATCATTCAAAATAATATTAAAGAAGTTTGCCTTGCAATAATTCATAATTCATAAAATTTGATTGTCAGCGATGGCTATGAAATGAAGATCGCTGTCATTTTATATATTCAGAGGCGTTTCTTAAAGCAATTGGTGCTCAAGGAGGAGGGGGTTTACCCTGTTAGAGGTGTGGATCATATTGAGTTGTTGTCTCGGTTCGATGTGCAACCACTTTCCTTGAGAAGGATCATTCACTCAGTAACTTTCCTGTGGAAGCTGCTGAATGGTCTTATAGATTCCCCAACT